CACATAGCCGACTCTGCGGTTCTAGTCCCAGACCCAGTGGCTTGAAATCATGCTGGGTGTGGGTGTCTGCATGCCCAATATCCCAAGAGAATGGAGAAGGGGTCATGGAATAGCCATCCCCCTGCGGGGGGATATTTCTCACTTTACCTCTCTCTCTCTCTCTCTCTGGTGAGCGCATGTGCCCTGTGGCAAAAACTTGGAAATAAATTTTTTAAAGAAAAAAATGCCTATGGCCAGGCTTCACCAGCACCAGTAAATTTTAAATCTCTGGGGCTATAACCCTGGCTTCATGTATTTTAAATCCCCCCTGATGATTTCAGTAAGCAACCAAAAATCGGGAGAACTGCTATTACTTTAAATACGTTAATTTTGCTGGTGTGTCAGTTATGCAAAAGAAGTGAACAAACAAATTTGGAAAAGAGATTTTTGCCTACGTTTTGAAAAGCTATCATTTATTTAGCACATATTTATTTAGCACCTACTATGTGCCAGGCACCCTTATGGATGGTAGAGATAAATATCAGAGAACAAAACACAAGAAATCCTCACCCTGTTAGAGTTTATTTTTGGCAGCTGTTTAGGATGATTCATAGTCTAGATTTAATTTATTACAGTATATGATGACTTCTATTTAGAATAAGCAATCTTATAAAAATGCTCTGATTATATATAGATAGATAGATATAAATATATATAGAGAGAGAGATTAGATATAGATACAGATAGATCATTTTAATTGCCAGCGGGTGCATATGCTTGCCAGAGAGAGCTGGAGAGATAAAGAGAGGAAGGAGCCAGCAGGTGGCATGGTGAGTGGGAAGCTGGACTCCCACACGGTCGACTGTAATTTGAGTCCCAGGCCTGGTGGCTTGTTTTCTCACTTTCCCCCTCTCTCCCATGCATCATCATCATCATCATTATAAATAAAATTAAATAAACAACTCTTTTAAAAAGAAAAAGAAAGAGAAAAAACAACAACTAATGAGATGTGGTCATACAATCCCTCTTCTCCATTTCTCCATCTTGGGATTTGGGGCATGCACGCCTATGTGCCTGGCATGTTTTTCAAGCCACCAGGACCAGGATTCAAACTATGATCAGCCACATGGGATCTGGCTTCCTTAATGCTAGACTGTGAAGCTGGGTCTGACTTCTTCATGTCTAAGTTATTATATCACCTTCTAATATGAATACAACCCTCTAAAGAAAAATTTTGTTAAAAACATTGTGCTTAATTTCACTGAGCATTTCTAACAGCTATTTTTTTTAGCCTCTCACTGTTTTTCAATTTCTGGTACCCCAGGATGCTTGTCTAAAATCAGCAGCATGCACTTATTTAAAATTAGTGATATGAGATCACAGCATTTCATTTTACCATCTTAAATCTTAATAAGAATTGATATTGAAGGAACTATTTAATAAGAATTTATATTTGGATCAAACTATAATTAATAAATTATTTTTATTGGGTCACAATGGGTTTGTAGTTCCTTTGGGATTATTTGCTGTGTACTATGATGGGATTTTTTTGGGTCATTTTCGCACGGAGTTTATTTACAAGCATGTATTCATACTCTTCTAGACTACTAGTAAAAATAGACTTCATGCTAGAACTGTCATTTAATTCTGATAGAATTATGCTTTATAGATTATCAGTCTGTTTCATTTTTTTTTCTTTTTTGAGAGATTTTTGCTATAGCACCAGAAAAATAAAGAGAGAAAGAAAGTGAAAAAAATAAAAACACACCTCAGTGGGGATGGCCACACTGCAATCCCTTCTCCTCCATTCCCTCAGGATTTGGGGCATGCATGCACATATGCCTGGCATGAGTTTCAAAACGACATGTCTAGTACTCAAACTGCAGTGGGCCATTTGGGAGTGCAGCGCTTTAACCGCTATGCCACCCACTGGCTCCAGTTTTACTTTCTAAACAGTGGTTTGGGTCTAGCAGTTTTGAATTCATTTCCTAAGTAAATTATGTAACTCTTAAAGAAGACCTGCATGCATTCTCATGTGACACAGGGCAGCCTCGAAATTTATTTTTAAGAATTATTTTATTTAACTTTATTTAATTTTGACCAGAGAGAAATGAGAGAGAGAGAGAGAGGTGGGGGGTGGCGGCAGTGAGAAAGCAAGCTGCCAGGTCCAGGACTCAAACTGCAGTCAGCCATGTGGGAGTTCAGTGCCCTTAACCAGCATGCCACCTGCTGACCCCAGTCCCGAGGTATTATTTGCTTAAATGAACACATCCCAGGTGGAAAGACGATTGTCAGAGAAGGGCAACAGGAGAGATGAGATGGGTCCTAACTAGGCTTTGAGAATGATGTCATTAATAGTAATGTTTCTGTAAGTGACCCCATGTTGTTGAATGACTATCCAATTATTTTATAATTGAAGACTATTTTTTTTAGAATTTTTTAAGTTCATTTTATTTATTCGTTCATTTAATTTAATTTTAATTTGATCAGAGAAAGAGAAAGTGGGAAAGCAAGCCACCGGGTCTGGAACCCAAACCATGGTCGGCCATGTGGGAGTGTCCAGAGCCTTAACCATCACACCACCTGCCAGTCCCTAAAAGACTATTTTTAATGTGAATTTTATTTTATATAAAATTACACATTTTGGGTCATCTGTTCTTTGCAATTTCAGTTATACTTAATATAACTACGTTTGGTTAACATAGATGATACGTACTTTCTGCTGCTTGTAAATCTTACGTGTCCTTTTTCCCTCATGAGGTTTCTCTAAGCCCAGGCCTCTATACATACATTAGTTGCTTTAATAACCTGTTAATTACATCAGCATTTTGTGTGTCGTTCCTATTCCTTGAACTTGTCTAAAATTCCTTGTTTCCTGAAAATTTGCAGATTTTATAGAAATTAATGATCACTTTTTTAAAAGGAATTATTTATCGAATTTCATTTATTATTATTATTATTATTTTGCTGTAGAGTACATGTACTCACTAGAGAGAGAGACAGTGAGAGAGAGAGAAAAAGAGATGATGAGAAGGCGAGCCACCAGGTCTAGGACTTGAACCGCAGTCGGCCATGTGGGAATTCAGCAACTTAACCTTCATGCCACCTGCTGGCCCAGATGATCATCTTTTAAAAAACTTATTTAATCAATTAAAAAAAATAATTGAGAAGCCAGAAATTATTTGAATTAAGCCTCAGGATATGGGTTATCTTAAAATAACCTATTTATCATTTAAAATAACTAGAAGAGTCTTCTGTTTTTAGATCACTGGAAAAGAAATGCTGGTTTTATGGATTCATTTTATATTTATCTCTGAACCCTAAACAGAAATTAGGGGCATTTACTCTTGATGACATAGTACTGAAAGATTTTTATAAATTTTAAGGATTTGGATTTAAGGAGCATTATTTTCCTTGTTACTGTTTTTTTTCCCTCCTTTTTATTTTTGCTTTATCTGTGTTGTTAAACAAAAATTATAGGAGGTCTAAGTTCCTGCTCTAGGCCCAAAAGGCCAAATCAAGATAGAGTCATTCGTGCTAAATTGTCACACCATTAAACTGAAACTTCGAGGAAGCCTATTGGTCCCAAAATAGGTCACTTTTTCCTGAAAATAGTAGATTCTAGTTTACTTAAGTCAGCATTATGAAAAAAATAGAACTTACGCTTATCTTGTGTCTTTCTTAGAATGTGTACCTGAAATAACTCAAGATACATACATTACCTGAGACTACTTAGATTTTATGGTGCCTGGGAAGTCCCAGTATAGACCCAAATAAAATCTTTTGGCTTCAGCCTTACTTTTTAGGTAGTTTGACAATATTATAAAAGTGGTCTTATTGGAGATAATTTATGTAGTCTGTATTACCCCCATTTTTCCTTAAAAGTCCTTTATAACAAACCTGGCTTTATTGTTGAATATTGTTGAAGTTTGGGGAGTGGAGGTGGGGTTCCTGGCTTTGTTCTGAATTGACTGAGAAACAAACGTGCCAAGATGATTATTTTTACCCATAGAACTGCTGGTGAATATGACTTAAAAGAACATGTTAGGTGCTTAGTAATACTGAAGCTCGGAATAAGAAGGATTTAATCATCCTGTTTGAGGTCATACTGGAGAGCAGAGCAACCATGACTCTCTGCTTATGGGCAGATCCCAATGAGAAATGTGCACTGAAGGAGCTGGATTTCGCTTATGCAAGTCCTTTCCCTAGACTTAACCATCACATAAGTCATCCTCACATGAAGAGGCAGAGGCTGCCATGTTACTCTATGAATGCCTTTCTGGCTGGGAAGTTGAATCCAGAGGAGAGTGCAAGAAAAGACTTTTCATTCCCTGGGAGGCTAGAGCTTTCTTGAACAGCAGCACTATGACTAGACACTCTGCCTATGGTTTCAGGATGACTTCAAGCACATTACGTTTATTGTGTACTTTATTTCTATTATTACTACATTATAATATATAATGAAGTAATTATACAACTCACCATAACGCAGAATCAACAGGAGCCCTGAGCTTGTTTCCTGCAACTAGACGGACCCATCAGAGGCTCCTGCGAGATCTCATACCACAGCTGACTGGAGGCTGAAACTCAGGCAGTAATGTGAGCAATGGGAATCAGCTGTAAATACAGATGAAGACTCATTGGTTGCCTGCCACTCACTTCCTGCTGTGTCCCCCCTCCCACCATCCTGGGTTCCTAATGGGCCTAGGACAGCTACCAGTTGTGGCCTGGGGGCTGGGAACCTCTGCTTTCAGGGAAATTGGGAGATACAGTATAGCTCTTAGATGTGAAAACAGAAGCCAAACAATGCATATGTTGTCCAAGAATGTGTTTACTTCCTTTTTATAAATGTGAACAATTAGAAACATGAGTTTTCATCTTTATTTAATGGTCTTCCCCTTTGTTTTGTTCACCTCTTAAAAAATTATTTTTTCAGAACTTAGATTCATTTTTTTAGAAATCATTTTGATGGATTTCATTGGAATAAAAATCTCTCTCTAGTGTATTTTGCATCTTTCTGTAGTGGGTACCTTGTTTTTCTGTCCACTGAGCATTCCCTCCCTTTCACTTTTGTTACTAATTTTGTTGATATCCCCTTTGTTTTTGTTCCACCTAAGGAACTCCCCAAACCACCTTCCTATGGTTCTGGTGTGGCTTCTAATCATGACCCTGTTGACGGAAATAACCAACTCTGTAGAAACAAAGTCAGACTTCTGTCCTCAGTCCCACAAACCTCTGACCACATTAACTGGGCAAAGGGGTAAGTGAGTACATGACTAACTGTGTTAATTGGACTATCTCAGGAATTAGCATCCTTTTTTTTAAATAATTTTGCTATAGGGCATGTGTGCTATGTGCTTGACAGAGACAGAGACAGGAAGAGTAAGAAATCACCCCCTGGGGGGATGGCCATGCCATAATCCCTTCTCCTCCATTCACCTCCTGGAATCTTGGGCACACATGCGTATGCACCTGACATGGTTTTTAAGCCACCAGGTCTGGGACTCAGACCATAGTCAGCCATGTGGGAGTCTAGCGACATGACCACTATGCCATCTGCTGGCCCCAGGAATTAGCATCTTGAATGGAGACTGCAAGATCAGAGAACTGGCAGGGCTGAGTCATCAGATGGAAATGTTTGGGAAGCTCTGCCACTCTGGGTTCTGTCCTGGTCTCTGACCTTTGGAAGACTTGAATATTGGATCCTCCATTTGATCCTTGAGCTCTTCTGTGTTCTTCCAATTAATGTCCCAAGCCCTTTAAAAATAAAAGAGAATTTGTTTTTTCTTGCTAATAAAGGATACATTAATATGCATTCATCACATTTTTTTCTTTCAACTTTTTTAAAGAATTATATTATTTAACTTTATTTATTATTTTAATTTGACCAGAGAGGGACAGAGTGAGAGAGAGAAAGGGAGAGTGAGAAAGCAAGCCGCCAGTTCTGGGACAGGAGCTACAGTTACCAATGTGGGAGTCCAGAGCCCTTAGCCTTCCGGCCTCTTAATTGACCTATTAACAATTTCTTAGTATTTTTTTGTGAGCAAGTATGACTTTCAGTAAAATTAAATTTCTGATACAACTTCTTTCTTGGTATGGATAAATAAAGTAATTTTCTTATTATTGAAATACCTTTATTTATGGCCACAGAGGTAGCTATATTTTGGTGATAATTTTAACCTTACCTCCTCCCCCGCTGCCCCCCCCCGCCGCTGCATCCCTCCAACATATACACAGCCTGTACACACACTTTTCTCCACTAGTAAGTTTAATGTTAACAGTCAGAAATGGAAAAGACAGCCATTTCATTGGAGGAAGTGTTAGCAGAAACCCTGTTTGGAATTTTTTTCATTTGCACTGATTGTAAAAGTGCCATTTTTATAGACTTTTTTTTTTGTCTTCCTTATCAGTTATTGGTGTAAGTTTTTTCTACCCAATATGAATACTTTTTTTGAGCTTGATTTAATATAAAGTCATAAATATGTTTGTTTATTTTAAATATATGATCCTGATTACAATTGTGATCTCTTTTCTTACAGTTAATGTTAACTGTAAAGGTATATTTATTTTTCCAGCATATACTTTGGGTGAATTAAAATCAGGTCTGCTTCTATGAATATGGGTTCAAGTTGGGACTTTCAGGATCTACCTCTTCCTTGAAAAGTGGGATGGTTTTTATTAGCAGAATGGAAAAAGGAGAATGTCTGGCTCTTTCTTAAACGTTTTTGCCAGGGCAGGTGTGCTGACCAGAGAGAAACAGTGAGAGACAGTGAGAGGAAATGTGAGAAATCACCCCCTGGGAGGATGGACACCCCACAATCCCTTCTTTTCCATTTTCCTCCTTGGATTTTGGGTATGCACACACACACACCTGGCATGAGTTTCAAGCCACTGGGTCCAGGACTTAAATCAAGTTGGCCATGTGGGAGTCCAGTGCCTTAACC